TCATTACCGGCGTTAAAAACATCGCAGTCATTCTGTTGTTCAACAGCACACCTTGGACAACACGTTGCGGGGGGCACTTTTTGCATAAATAGTGTAGCAGAGGTACTAAATGTTGTGGTTTAGGTTTGTCAGGGTTTTCTGAACTGCAACTTGAAATTCAAAACTCCTTCTGCTTAAATCGGTGTACACAGGCCAATCAAAAAGCACCAGACTAAGGGACAACAAACTAACCCTCTCTCCGGGACTGCAGCCATTCCCAGACACTTCAGACTGTAAGAACAGGCCCAGGTAGAGAGGTATTATCCATGGCACCCTTTCCCTGACCCGGGAAGCCACCACTTTAGCAAGAGTTCAGTATCACTAGGAAAAAAACAACACAAAAAAAATCCAGAAAAACAAGGAAGAAAGATGATCACAGGGATTCAACACTCTTGGATCTTTACAAAAGCTGCTAATTCCTAGGAATGCTCAGCAGCTACTTTACTAAAGCACAACAGGTACATTCCTCACCAACCAAAATACAAGTCCTTGACAGAACAAAAGCCCTTCTTTTTCTTTCAGCAGACAAAGCCTCTGCAGAAATGTATTTCTAAAAGCCTACACAACATACTCGAGACCAGCCATATCTTTATGAGGACAAGCAGACTACTCACAACAAACACTGAGTTAACCCAAATGAATTATTTGCTTTACAGAGTTTATTTTAATGTAAATTTTAACAAAAATGAGATTTTTTTATTACACTAATGTAATGTATAAGCCTCACAAAGTTCAGAAAATGGATAGCACAAAGTCCTGCCCCAAGGGATGAACAGCCCCAGGCACCAGAACAGGCTGGGGCCGACCTGCTGGGAAGCAGCTTGGCAGAAGAGGCCCTCAGGGTCCTGATGGACACCAAGTTGACCACGAGCCAGCGATGAGCCCTTGCAGCAAAGGCCACCAACAACCTCCTGGACTGCACTAGGCATCGCATCACCAGCAGACGGAGGGAGGTGATGCTTCCCCTCCAGTCAGCTCTGCTGAGAGCCACATCTGGAGCACTGGATCCAGTTCTGGGCTCCCCAGTACAGGTGAGACAGGTACAAACTGGAAGGGGTCCAGGGAAGGGGAACAAAGGTAATCAAAGGTTTGGAGCATCTGACACACAAGCAGAAGCTGAGTGCTGGGACTGTTCAACCTGGAGAATAGAAGGGTCTGGGGAACCCCATCAGCATGTATAAACACCTGATGGGGAAAGGGATGGGAAAGAGAGAGAGAGGGGATGGCGGAGCCTGGCATTTCACAGTGGTGTCCAATGACAGGACAAAAGGCAGCAAAACAATCTGAAATACAAGATACGAAGTGTAAACCTCAGACGACCTCTTTTCACTATAAGGATGGTCAAACGCTGGGATATGTTGCCGAGAGAGTTTGTGGAGGCTCTGGAAGAAACCCCAAACCTGCCTGCACACAGGTGTCCGCCACCTGCTCGAGTTGCCCCTGCTTTGAGCAGGGCTGCAGAAGACAATCTCCAGAGGTCCCCGACAACCTCAGCCGCTCTGTGATTCTGTGCGTGCAGTACTATCTACACACTACATGACGAGGGGTAATGGTTTTAAACTAAAACAGGGTAGGTTTAGGCTGGATAGAAGGAAGAAATTCTTTACAATGAGGGTGGTGAAACACTGGAACGGGTTGCCCGGAGGGGTAGTGGAGACCCCATCCCTGGAAACATTCAAGACCAGGTTGGACAGGGCTCTGAGCAACCTGATCTAGTTAGTGGTGTCCCTGCTCGCTGCGGGGGGGGGTGGACTAGATGACCTCTAGGGGTTCCTTCCAACCCAAAACTTTCTATGATTCTATGATTCTACATCGTTACACCATAGGGATAGACAGCAGGATATAATTCATTCATCTCTACATACACCATGTGGTAAGTGATTTTTCATCAACTGCACAAGCCATATCACACTCCCATGCCCTTGCCTCCCCCTCCCCCCTGTACCCCACGCTCCTGGCTTCCCCTCCCAAGCAGTGCATGTTCTCATTTCGTAACGGCTGCAAACTGGAGCCCTTCGAACAACAGACCATGTCCTGCCCCTCCTGTCCTAGGGCAGGATCCTGTCACAACCTCCCACTAGCAACTCTTTCACCACAAGCGTTTTCAGCCGCAGGGTTACGTGCACTTGTGAATTCTGGGGGGCTAGGGCTGGGGATAATGTGTATTCTGCAATATTTAGCGAAGTATTAAAACAGAAGAACAGAGTTCCTGCCAGAGTAACTGAGCCCCTTTATACCGAATGGGGACTGTTTCTCTGTGGTGCGGTGTGCTTCAGTCCCTAATACTAGCTTCTTCCTTCTTTTGCTTCTTTTTCCTTGTTCAAGGAATTCTTTTTCTTTGCCTAGCTATGTGCTTTACACAGTCATCTTAACTTCCATCAAGCAGTTTATGTTTATGAAGGCTATCTGCTTTAGTTTATTCTCTTTACTTTCTACTTCTCTTTGAATTAGCATTCTTTTTCCTTTAAGGATATTCATTATTATTTTTTAAACTCCACGTACTTAATTACACTTGGAATTCCTTATTACTATTGTCTACCTCTGCCTTTAATCTTATTTTAAGATTAACCAACTGAGAATAAAATCTGCACGGGAAAAGCTTTCAATTCCCACACATCAGCTAATGGTTTTTCAGCAACTCTCTGCCCTCCATGTCACCACCTTGGCTCAGCAGCTCCAGCTTTGTTGATACTGAAGAGCAGCAGACTGCTACTGAGAGCTACACAAAAAGGCACAGAGATTATACCGCCATTTGGCTCCTATCAGCTATATACACATCTGCACATCCAACATGAAGGTTCAGAGAGTCTGGGATGGTTTTCTTCTTAAAAAGTCAAGAGAAGTCGAACCTACAGGACTTTTTGGGTTCTGACACACCCTTCAGCACACGGTAATATTAGAGAGGGACGAGCTTCTCCGACAGCCATTCTTCAACCATGAGTGCAAACACACTACTGCTGGTTTGAACCAGTGCATTTTGAAGTAACCTGTGCAAGGAAAGTTACATGGCAGAAACTGTTGCAGAGGGCAGAAAATAAACAAAACTGAAATACTTCTCCTATGTGACATTCATAATGCTCCATAACACTTTGAGCCTGAAAAATTTTTAATTTGGAAGTAGAATCTTACTGTGCTGAGTAGTAAGTTTTCCACTCCAAGTATGTTTGCTTTGACAATCCACATAATACGTGTTTAATTTGTTACTCAATCAAGAAAAACAAAGATCTCCATAGCTACCAACAAGCTGTTACGATAGGATATAACGGCAGCTAGTTCTGTATCTCTCAAACTTCATGCATTGGGTTTGCTGCTCTAACAGAGTAAGATGTATTTGGGATAAGTTTAGAGATACAAGCTTTCCCCACTACTGTAAAACCCGATTACAGTAGTAGTTGCTCTTTTCCGAGATGGAGGATGTTTAATCTTTCAGTTCAAAGTCCCACGAAAGAGCACCCAAATATGGCTCTCCCCATTACATTTAATGAACATTATAAAACATAGTCAGAAACAACAACAGAAGTTGTCCTTCTCCATACTTAGGGACTGCCAGCATCTGCGAGTGGAGAATGAACAACTCATGCTACAGGAAAGGAGCAAGTCTCAGCAAAGAGAAGAAATGGAGAACAACCAGAGTATCCATGTGTCAGAACAGAAACAGTACACGGAGAAGTAAGGAAAAAGAGGAACAAACCCAGGCTACAAAGAACATCAGGCTTATTAATAGAGAGGCAACAGAAACATGAAGTTCAAAGAAGTATATTTGATCATTTGCTTTCAGTTAGACCCTCTTTCTTCACCAACTCTATTCTGCTGGTTGAAGGACACACACCATACCACGTTAATTCTGGCACAGGATTACTAAAATAGAAAGATGGCCACAACTGAACTGGAAAAGATCTTGTCATCAGATCTGTTGGCCAACACACACTAACTGGAAGTATTCTGGGAAGAGGGTTGGTTTTTTTTTTGGCAACAGAAAATAGGCAAAAAAGCCTTTCCCATCACTGAGGCCAACGCCAGCAGTGAGGAAGCGAAGCCCTCCGAGGGGTGGAGGAGGCTTCCCCTGGGTCCCCGACTGTGGGCAAAGGGCCTCTGTGCCAGGTTACAGCCCTTGGATGCCATCAGGAACTCCTCCACAGCAAGCAGATAGGCTATAGCCAGCTTCTCTCTCCTCTCTGCCCTCCTGAGCATGCCAACTGCTTACTAACAACCATGTTTTTCTAACCAAAACAGATTTCAACAAACAGTCCATCCGCAGTGCACCACACTAAGCAAATGACTGCATAAATAGCCACAGTTGTTTACTAAAGGTAAAATCTACAAGAAACATACCACCATATTTATTTATATTGGGCAATGATACTGTAAGCACACAGGTTTTCCAGTTGTTCTCATCACAACTACAGTTCTGAGCAAGTCAGAGGCAGAAGTCGCTACCACGTCACATGTTTCAACATCATCGAAATGTTACAGTGAAGTGAAACACATCCTTCACGAGGCTTCTGTTGTAGGCTGATCAGTTCACCTTCTAACAACATGTATAGTGAAACAGTTATAAGTACCTGATGCCCCTTTAATCAGAAGGGCTGGATTGTGTAAAGCTTAAGTAGAGGAAAAACGAAACAGCCTAACAATTCATACTTTTGAAAAAACACCTATTCAGCTCTTCAGAAGAACATTACAAGATTGTCTTAACGGTGATATAGAATCCCCTATCTAAACAGGTCAGCAGTTCTCCTAAATAAATGTATTGATAATCACTTGCAAATTATAGCTAAAAAAAAAAAAATACACTGCATCTCACAAACCCATTCTAAAGATTCACCATTGCAACACTCAAACTCCGCACTTTTCTTGCTCTAAACCACAAAATTACTTCTAGATTGAAAATACCAAGGCTTTAAAATTGAAACATGCAATATTCATTGATAATTAAGTATCTTCTTAGGGAAACAACTTACTTGATTGAGTTTCTGAAGTGGTCCTCAGCAGGATTTTTTACTGTACAGCTGTTCAGCAACCATAAATCTGCTTCAGCAGAGTCGTCTAGAAGACAGAAAGATACAAATCTGTGTTAAGAATGACCCAACGTGTCAAATCCCACTTTATATCATACAAAAAAAGACCAAACTTAGCCACTATCAGTAAGTTGACTATTTGCAAAATGACTCTATATTCAACAAATAAAATTACAATCTTGGAAAGTTTTATTTATTTGTTCATTGTTTTGTGTTTTGTTTTTAATTTAAGATTACTAACAAGCAGTTCCATCGTGGTTTTTTTTTTGCAAAGGAAGAATGAACAGTTCTCTCATTTACCATCTGAGACGCCATTAGGTTGCACATCACGGAAAGCAAAGTTAAGAAAAATGGTCACTGCTCCCACAAATGCATACTCCCCAGAATATGGCCTACACAAAAGCAAAGAGATCACCAAAATGCATAAAGGCGCTTTTTTGATTAATTAAGTGGTCAACAAAAGCAGGTTTCAACTAACAAAACAAAATCCCTGCTTCAGCTCTACTGTGAATTAGTACCACCAAAGAGACAAATCAGAATTTATAAAACATGAGTCTCTACTAAAGAGAAAAGCCAGTGTAGCTGATTTGGAAAGGAACATGTATATTTCTAGTTTAGATTATGTCTTAGTTATGGTATAATTATAGTTCAGCAATTATTAGACAAGAGATATTCACGCAACGAATATCTGCCTCCATTCAGATAAGCATACAATTTTCTTCAAGAACCAAACCCTTCTGTGTGTTCCCAACCTACTGATACCTACATGCATCAACAGAACTGAATCCCAGAAATACCTGCAGCAACACTTCTATAAACTCTAATCCTGTAAAACATGACCTACAGTACAGAATTACTAGCACAGTTATTCTTCTTGTGAAGTTAGAGCTTCTATTTTCAAACAAAAGAAGAAAGATAAACCATCACAAATATTCCAGTGCTCTAGCATTCATCAGAACAGCCTGCACCAGCCTGGATAAGGAAATCTGCGTCACTGGTGCTACTATTCAGTGCATCCTCAGCATTGAAGCATTGTGATTGAGATGTATCTTTGAATAACATAAGCCAATGAACAATGAACAGAGCTAAAACATCATTTCTAGGATGCCTTATTTGAACTGGCATCCTGCTATAGCAGAAGAAAGCCTGCGAAGATTTAAGTGTGTTTACATATGCACTCCTCATGAATGTACCCACATAGGCGTGAATATCCTTCTTCCCCCCAATACACATACTTGTGATTCTAAATGCTAAAAGTGAAAAAAATCTTTCCTTCTGTCTCACTGCCATTTTGTTTAAAGATGTCACCCTTTACAATTAACTATCAGTCACTTAACATAGGAAGCAGGTAAAATGAAAGTAACACGTCAAATAGCAACTGAAGGACACGCTTATGTTGAGTAAGAGAAAACTTCAGAAGGTTTCTAGTCTTTGTTGACAGAGACACCGGCCTCTTCTATGACAGGAAAAGGCTACAAAGGAGTCATCAAAAATAACATTCAGACCTTTAGCTATTCTAAACATAAAGCGAATGTACCAAGATCTGCCCCTGTCCTGACACACTGGGAAAGAGGACCAAGCTCAGTTTTAGCCTATACAGATGTCAAAACAAAAATGGAATGAGCCAAAGCATCTCTCCACCGACCCAGGCTGCAAGAAAACAACATTTTCAGCCTAATCAATATACTATTAATGTTAGAAAGATAATTACAGGTAAAACAATGATTAGGAATGATGTACAGAAAAGCCAAGAAAGGTACAGTTTCAAAATCAGAAAAAGGGTGAGCCCTTGGCCTATTCAAATTCACCAAGTATAAAAACAAACACATTTTTAAAACAGTATTCCAACAACACTGCCAAAACTCTATTACTTTTTCTTTTCAGCAGCATAAAGTGTTTATAAATCCAGCTCTACAGCCATAACACACACACCTGAGAATCCGATGGGGGACTAAATAACCAGAGGCCAACACTGCAAGTCAGACGGGAGGCTGGGAGCACATTTAACAGGCAAGAGCTTCCGTAGCAGCCACGCATCACTCTAGAGCTTGACAGTTTTCAAGACATATCTTTATTCAGAGCAGAGATGCCATAATGCAGAGAACACCAATTCTGCGCTTGGTTTCGGTTCCTCCATGTACCATGGTCTCCATGTGTAAAGTAAGAGACGGCTTCACTGTGACCATTCTCCTCCCCTAAAGCTAAAATTAAACCCCCTTCTTCCAAAGAGCACTGGAAAAACTAACACATGTAAGTTCAGGAAGACCTTATGCACTAACCCAACAGGAACCATTTCATACAGCAATTTGGACTTCAGGCTGTTAATATATCAGCTCCCTGACTGGGAGTCTGAGGGACTACAGCAACACCTGCACATATTTTACACACAGAAGAAAAATCTCCCAATAACATTTAAATACATTCCTTCACAGGTTTCTCTCTCTGCAGAACAGAGGGTGCAGAATAAAGGCTTCTGCAGAATAGAATCTTGTGAGCAGTTTCAGTAAAAGGAGTCTCATTAATGTATATATCTAAAAATCATTTAAGAAAAATAGAAACATAGCAGAGGCTTGTCCTCCCCTTACAGCAGTCTTTTTATTTTATCTTATTTAGTTGTTCTATTTCTGTATTTATTTCTCAATCTTTTTTCATATTAACTCTCATTCTCTCTCATACGGATATTTACTTGCAAGTTTGGATTATGCACATATATAAATACACACATACACACAAGTTACATGCATTTATTAATAAGAGTTCATACCATAACTCTCCAGAATGATAGCTGAATTTTCTTAGTTCTTTACTACACTGTTCATGTGTAAAATAATTACATGCACTGGTAGATTCACCATAACCTATCATAACTTCTCAAGCAAACCTCGGTTTAAAAAAAAATTATTTACCAACAGAGCACTTTTGTGTCAGGTTGCAGGAAAATGTGCATGCTTACAACACTGCAGGGTCAACCTGGGAGCAGTCACCCTTTCCTTTCAGAACTTCTGATGCACTTCTACTAAACGCAAGGCCTTGACGGACATGCTGAAACGAACACGGCCCAAAACACCAGGTTGGAGTTGGCACGCTGAAACATGGTCTTGAGGTTTCATAATTACAAAATATTAAGCAACACCAGGGGTGAGGGTTCTTTATTCAAGGGAGGGAGGGGTGTTGTTTGAGGGACTGGCTATATATATGTATATATACATATCTATACATATGTGTATATATATACACATTAACCAGTGTTCTGTCAGGAGTAGTCACTGGTGTTCAGTATGTGCCCAAAGAAAGAGTCAAACAGCTCTGACAAATCAGCTCAGGCTTCTACACACCTGCCTACAATGGGCAGGGGCAGCCAGACCCGAGACTTCCCTCTCTCTACTCCAGGAAGACACACGTGAAGTATTTCGTTCTGGATGTAGCCACGCAAACGTAGCGCTGTGCCTACTACGGCAGTCCGTGCTCCTTCCTTGGCAGGTCTCCGCTTGTCATCTCTTCCAGCTCCAGCCTCCACCTCGTCAGGTCACGACAAAATTTCAGTGAAGAACACAGGCTTGTTATTAGGAACTCTCACAGATCTTATCGAAGAGGACAATCTAACCTTTACAGAAGGTTTTTCCAGCAAATCACACATACTGTGACAGGCAAAACTGAAGCAAGGACCACAGGCACAGCGAGCATCAATTACAGTAGTAAATATGAGACATAAGTGGCCTTGGATCTTCTTTCCAGATATTCAGCCTAATGATAATTATAAAATGACGATATTCTGCTGCTGAGCATTCTCTGATGAGCTACTTACACAGTTTCCTGTATGTTAAGACACTTTGAGAAAAAAAGTTATGTCAAATCAGCATAGCATTCAATGCTCAAAAACACCACTCAAAACCATGGCCTTTTTGCATTGTGACATCTTTTCCATAAAAGAACGGCTACACTGGAAGTAAACCACAAAGTCTATCATGCTCTCTGCAAAACAACAGAGAGTACAAAGAAACCTAAAGGTCATGGAAACTTCTGAACACTTCCCTTAATTGGGAAGCTCTGGAAAACATGAATTGGCTGCATTATGCAATACAGAGAGGACAAAGTGGAAAGAGTCTGAAACATCAGTATACCTACAGAGGAAAACAATCTTTACAATCCTATTCTAAATGGCATTTTTGGGTTTGTTATCATTTCAGATATTGTAAATCAGCAGAACTTCTTAAGAAGACTGTAGTAATACTATCAGCTGAAAATTAAACAATTGTCTTGGGTTTGCCCTGGTGTTTTAACTCAAGTCTTTTTTTCCTTCAATTCTTTTTCCAAAACTTTGTCTTCTTCCAATTCCCCCCCAACCACCTCTCCCTGAAAAAAAATCAGAACACACACAAAGCACTGAATTAGAAGACACACAGACAGTGAAGCCCTAAAAGAACAGCCCTTCTTTACTTTCTTCAGCACATCACTCCTCTCCGCACTGAAACTCCTGCCAGAGTTGCTCAGCACTGCTTGCTCAAGAAATGACTCATAATTTGTACGACAACCTTTTAAACCCTGTGCATCAATGTGTAACTTCAGTCCAAAAGATCTCCCTCTATAATCACAGAAGGCTCTCCTGTGACCTTTTCCTCCAGCTCTCCTGTTCCTAAGCTCTCTACGAGTCTCCCTTCTTGCCCTTTCTGATTTTCCTTTACTTCAAACTCTCTTGCACAACAGATACCCTCAGTTTCTCTATTTTCACGTGCTATATTCCAGCCTCTGTTCCCATTTATGGACCTCTCCATGCTTCATTCTGTGCAATCTCACTCCCAGCACAGCTCTGCCCTCTTCCCTCCATCCCCTGCTTGGCGTTTTACGCTCTGGAGCCAGTCCCAGTAACACCCAAGTTATGTACGTGGAGCATGTGCTCACAGCTGGACTCCGTGTGAACCACATCCCCCCAAAAGACACAAAAATTTGAGCAAGAGGACATCTCACAGAAGTCATCTGGCTTCTTGACTAGAACAAAGTCACCAAACTTCCGACTTTCAACATCCCTAT